GCTTAGGGAGAGAATTCGACGGACCAAAATAGGACTGGCCAACAAGGGCAAAGTGCCTTGGAACAAAGGAAGGAAACACACTGCAGGTAGTTAGAAATTACAAATGAATGAACATTGGTGCGTATTTTGGTTGGTTAATTTTGAACCACTGGTATTACAAATAATGCAGAGACCAGGGAGCGAATCAAGCAAAGAACACTGGAGGCATTGAGAGACCCTAAGGTGATGTCATGTAAGAAATTTTTGCAGTTTTTGGAATATGCCCTCACTTATAGTTGTCGATAACATGACAAGCCATATGAGTGCATGACAATTCTCTTAATTTTTTTTAATTCTTAAACACTAATGATTGTCATTTTGAAGTGTCACAGGACCTAAAGTAACATCTTTCACCCCAAACAAAACAGAAGAAAATAAAAGAAAATGCAGATATTTTTATGTCACCATCTAATTCCTTGCTTTTGATTCACCTAGTAAATGATATTCACTTTTTCCCTATCTTGACAAATTTTCAGGTTAGAAACAAGATGTCTGAACATCCTCGCACTCATAGGTAAACATGCCTGCTCTGCAATGCATCAAATCATCTGTCTGCTTGCCTACTTAAAGAAGAAAATAATCCCATTCTGTAGAAAGGTTTGCGCTTTTCAATAGGAAAATAAAAGATAAAAACAAGTAGTTGTTTGGAAATGTGCTGAAATAACATAGCCAATAAGCTTGTAACATCGGCACTTCACTCTTTGTTCATTAAGTGGCTAAGAAAAGCCAATGCAACTAATTATAGTTCTCATATTAACAGTCTATTTAGTATTTTGCCAAATGACTCTGGGCTTTTTGGTTATTGCCACTTGCCTGATTTGGAGTAACGTGTGAGCTCATTTGTCAAACAATGTGTACTTACCCTTTTGAGAATACATAGCGAGGATAGTAAATATAGCTTTTAATTTCTATCCTTGATACGAGTGGATAATATCTTCTTAGTTCAAATCTAATTTGTGTTTGCAAACCTTATTAGTTGTTAGATTTTTGGAGCCCATTAAATACTCAACATTAAATTTTAATAAAGGAAAATTTATTCTAATATAATGTTTCTGCTTCATACTGATCTTTTAAATGTTCTCAGTGCACCTGATAGCTACTGGCATGGTGTCTTAAGTCTCAAGTTAGCTAATGGAATTCTGCACTTACTGGTTTAGTATTTGAAATGGATCTTGGGTTGACCTTTCCGGCATTTTTCTCAATCTCTATCAATTTCTCTGCAGTGATCAAAGCAAGGCAAAAATAAGTTCTTCACTGAAACGTGTTTGGCAAAAGCGTTTGAAATCAAAGAGATTGAAGGAGCAGTTTTACCTTTCATGGGCAGAAAGCATAGCAAATGGGGCTCGGGAAGGAGGAATTGACCAAGAAGAGCTAGATTGGAATAGCTATGATAAGATAAAACAACAATTGGAGCGCCATCAGCTATTATGGGCTAAGCAAAAGGGAAAAGGAAAGCAGATCGCTGTTGCCAGAGCAAAGAAATTCATGGAGTTATGGGCTACAAGCATAGCCAAAGCAGCTAGAAGTGGAGGGAAAGGTGAGCGAGAATTAGACTGGGATAGCTATGAAAAGATAGAACAAGAAATGGCTGTGCACCATCAGCTTCAGCAATCTGCTGAAAAGGCGAAGGCAAAGGAAATGGCAAGGATAAGAGCTGATAGAGCAGCACAGATAAAAGCAATAAAAAAGGTGATGCTTATGCAAAAGAAAAGGGAGCACGAAGAGAGGGCGAAGGCCCCCTGGGATATTAAGACTCAACCACATGGAAGAGCAAAGGAAGTCAAAGGTGACTTAGAGGTTCCGCTGGATTTTAAATTTACCTCAAAACTAAAGGTAAGGATTCAAATTTCCTCATTCATGGGCCATGTGCACACACGCGCGCGCACAACTTTGTAAAGCCAATTGAAAATAGGAATAACATGCTCATATATATATGGAAAAATGAACGTAGTCCTGGATTGTGTTGTTTATCTGTTGAATATTAGACTTCTTCCTGGTACAAAAATGAAAGGGGATTTTTGAAGGATAAAAGTTCTGTATGTTTGTGTAGGTTAAGAAAGGAGAAGTTCAGTAACTTGATTCCTACGTCATTTAGGAACTCTTAAGTCCTCAATTAACATTTACGAAATACAGAACTGTTATTCTATGATGGTTTGGCTATGAACAAGAGAGGAAAAGATCTGTGTAAGTGGGTATATGTCTCGTGAATATCCATGGGAGGATGTACTAGACTACTAGTTGAGATTTTCCAGTAAAATTATGGCGCAGCAAGTTCTTTTGAATGAACTAATGTGATGGTTGGTCGGAAAAAAGTTCCTTTAACCTTAACAACCACATCTAAAGAATTTTACCCAAGTATTAGCCTATAGATATTTGTCACAGTTGTCATTTTCCGGGTCTGGTATATAAGGCTCACAAGCGCCTATCAAATAGAGCTACCAAGCATACATTCATTTTAACATACCCCTTGACCCCGTTGTTCTATGTTTGCAATGTGCCTCATTACCTACAGATTCTAATGATGCTGTGTGTGTCCTGTCTTTAGTTTCGCATAAGGGAGAACACTAGTGATCAAGGGGATGGGGAAGGAAAAGATTTGAATTCCATTTTTCCAAACTCTAAGAAATTGGATCTGGAGCTTATCAAGAAGGAAAAAATGCGGAAAGAAGTTTCGCTTGCAGATCAGATCCAAGCTGCTAGGAGCAGGAAGGGCAAAATTCATTAAGGGGTCTTTTCCATACTCTGATTATCCTGTTTAAGAGGTAAGATACGTGTTTTATTTTGTATTTTGGAGATGACAGTTAATTGGTGGTGAGCAAGGGTGCGGAGATTGCTAAGGCTTAACACTCATGGAAATATTGTTTAATTTGCCTTTGCATAAGGAAGTTCACCGTTAAGGAGAGCGTTTTTAAAGTTTGAATTTGCTCAGTTTTGGCTCAGTCATTCTCAAAGGAAAATGGAGAGTTCAGTCCCCCCCTCCCATATTTATATTAAGATGGATTGAATGTTCTATTTGCTAGATATGCAATGAGATATGCGTGTATATAAAATGCTATTTATTATAACAATTCAAGACTATTCTACAACTACAAGTCTACCGTCGCACTCATCTAGACTTGAAAATAGTCATCTCTCTCCCTCTCTCTCTCTCACACTCGCTCACACACACACGCACACACTTAGCTCCTGTGTGGAAGATCAAAATCAAAGTATCAAGACTCCATCCATATTTCATAGGTAAGCAACATTATTCAGTTATTCTGTTGTTGTGCTTAATGGATCAATGTATAATTGCCCTGAACAACTGTCCAACCAAGGGACTGGTTACAATAGCTAAAATTGGCTTCAGCCGAAAGAAAAGGTTCATTTTTTTTTTTAAAAAAAAATGGTTCTATGTACAGTAAGTTATTTTAATTTTAATTAGTAAGTTATAATCTAATATTTGTGCCAACAGCTTGTAATTTAAATGGCATCTCACGTTGCTGGCAAAAAAAGAAAAGGGTATCCCACATCCCTTGCATAGGGGAGGATATGGGTTCTATCTCCCATGCGGTATACATGGGGTAAAAGGAAGGGTTGTAGGGGAAAAAAACTAATGTTTGTATTTTTCCCAAAAAAAAAAAAGAAGAAAGAGAAAATTTGCCAACTGTACGATACTACTATCTTGATTGATTCCAAGGGCCCTAATATATTTTTTTGAAAAAAAAGATGATGATCCAAAATTTTTTGATGAGAAAAATTATGTTAGAAAAGTGATCATTTATTTAGGAATGATAATATGATCCTTAGCTTTTTGTTATTTCTATTAGTTGAGTTGGTGAGATCAAGTTGGATGGCAAAGTAAGGTGTGTTAAATGAGTTACGTTCAAGCGGATAACCTTACCATTGGTATAAATATATATATTTATATATAGTTCAATAAAAAGGAGTTGTTAAAAGTCACACATATAGGTTTTTGTTTTTTCATTCAAAATGATGTCATTCGAAGATCAATAATGGAAGAATATATATTGAGCAGACTAAAACCTTTAGCTGAATTGATAAAAAACTGGTTTGCTGGAGTAACCTGTCAAATCAGGCTGGGCTTTCATCTCATGGTCGAGATTAAATGGGGTATATAATACAAAGTGTTCATAAATTCTTGTGAGATAAAAATGCATCACACGCATTATTGTTAGACAAGATAAAGTCAAATATTTTACCACAAATTCTCGCGAGATGAAAATAGATCACGCATATTATTGCCAGCAGCTTCATATCATATGATTCATGAAGTAAAGTCAACTATCTTACCATTTAAAAGTTCTAGACCTTATTTTATGCATCAAAACGTAAACAAGTCATCAACGCAAGGGCGGCACGTCATTTTCATATAATTTGTTGGTTGCATGAATTTTTTTTTGTAGGCACAAGTATTTTTCTGTTAAAGACAATTTTGTTCAAGGCACTGTCGGACACAAAAGACAGATACCTCCAGCAAAATTTGATTCATTACATTATAAGGGACTAGCCTTTTTTGTTAAATCCAATCTCTGTTGGTCATGATTTTTTTTGGGCTAAAATATAGATATCTTCTTATTAGAAATAATCCTATTCGAGACACTATCAGGTACTAAATGTAAGCACTTCTCTCAATGGAAATTCAAACTTTAGTCTATCATGTTATGAGAAACTAGTTCTTTTCACTAGATCCAATCGTGGTCGTGAATTTATTTCTGTGAGATTCTAGACTAGATAAGATAAGATATTTGGTGAAGCCCAATCAGGCCTAAGAAAAATAGAAGTTCTCAGTAAGCTGATCAGTTGGCCCAGGATGAAAGAAGACCCGAGGCCCATTGTGGCTAACTGTCAATAACGGATATTGGAACTTTCTAGTTCATTAATTCCTTAATGGAGATTCTTTCTTCATCTCTCTCGTTCAGTACAGCAGCGTCACTTCACATGTCCCATGAATCGAATCCCAAACTCTCACCGCTCACTCATCCTCATTTCCCCTTCATAGGGCCTGGTCTTCTTGTTCTGGGGTTTCTATGAGTCATGTCTTCCTCCCCCAAGTCCTTCCACGGCCGTACACCTCCATTGTCGTCTCGTAGATCCGCGCTCCTTCTCATCTCCTCCCTTTTGATTGCCGTCTCAGGTTTTGTTTTTGGAATTACCGCCTTTTTAAGGCCGATTCAGGGGTATAAATGCTTGAATAGTCACCCCAGATCGATTCGAGTAACTTGGGAACACAGTGGTGGAGGTGGTGACGGCGCCGGTGGTGATGGCAATGGGAATGGCGGGCCCGGAAGTAGGCATAAAGTTATGGGATTTGTGGGTATTCAGACTGGGTTTGGATCTGCGGGTAGGCGTCAAGCATTGAGGAAGACTTGGATGCCTCCGGATCGGCAAGGGCTCGAACGGTATGCTATAGATCTTTCATTGCGTTGGAAGTTCATTTTTCCTGTTACATTCGGATCTCACCATAATAAACTCCACTTAACCTTGGGCTTTTAAAGAAAAATGAATGATTTGAGAATCTGACTGAAACAACTTTTTTTTTTTTTCAATTATATTTTTTAAGGCTTTGGAAAATGCTGTTGGCTGCATATTAAATGAAAATTTCGCTCGTTCAATGTTCTATTCTGTATTATATGAGCTAATATAGACTCTATTCAGCATCTAGATGTAGTATCATGCAGTGCGTCTATGGCATATGAAGTGCATTTGTTTTCTGTTGGAGAATTGGACATAATGAGAGAATCTGGATTCAAAAATGGTGTAAATTTGCAGAAAGCCTCAAGTCGCATCGGCTGACAAAAGTAAATGTCCAAGTTTATTCTAAATCCGTTAGTGAATCTTATTACTGAACCACTAATACGCATCGGCTGACAACTTGTCCCCTTTCTTTTTCATTTGGGGGAGGAGGGATTGAATTTGATATGATAATAGTGTAATTCAAGGAAATTTCACCCCCGCAGCTGCATGTGCTGTTTTTGCTTTTATAGGCTAGTTGTTGGTTTAGATGTTCTGATGGAATCTGGGCTTGAAAATCTGTCAATTAGTGTTTTTGTCCTCAGTGTAGCTTGCTTATCTGAACATTTCAACTTACAAAGGGCACTGTTCACTTTTTTTTTCCTTTGAAATAGGAAGTTGAATCACTTAGTTGACACAGATTTACTAACAGCCTATTGCTTGCAGTTTGGAGGAAGCTACTGGCTTAGCTTTCAGGTTTATCATTGGGAGAACAAATGACAAATCGAAGATGTCAGAACTACAGAGGGAAGTTGCAGAACATGATGACTTTATTCAATTGGATTTTGAAGAGGAGTACAGCAAGCTTCCATACAAAACGTTAGTATTAATAATATTTGGATGAATGTCTTTTATGCCTGTAGGATGTTGCTAAGTTGCGTATTCTATTTTTTTACAGCTTAGCTTTCTTCAAAGCTGCCTATGCACTTTTTGAAGCTGATTTCTATGTCAAAGCTGATGATGATATATATTTAAGGCCAGGTGATTAGATTTTATGAGGCTCATCTTCGATGCATCTAAGAACTTTCTTTGAGGTGTGGCCCGTTTCCCTAATCAACATGTTTTGTTCATTTTCAATTTATTGACAGATCGCCTTTCGTTACTAATTGCAAAAGAGCGAAACCACCCTCAGACTTACATCGGATGCATGAAAAAGGGTCCTGTTATCAATGACCCAAAGCTCAAATGGTTAGTTCTGTTTGGGTTGTCTTTAATATGCCTTTATGTTCTAAAGATGTTTCTAATTCACCCTTTTTTGCATGTAATTGCGCCTGTCATGACATGGGATAAGTGTATTGAACTTCCATTGTAGCTTGAGGATCCTCATTACCTGGAAAGAAGCATGGATTACAAATACTCATAATTAGTACTGAAGAGATTTAAAACTTCTGGTCATAAACTTACTTCTACATGCATCATATATCAGCTGCACTGTTATCCTGGTCATAACCTTTTATGAAGAACTATAGAAACTTTTAAAGCATCGTAGTTTACCAACTGTGCTGTATAGCCCGTTCGCTACACTGACATTAAAGGTTTCAATCATAAACAGCACTTGGCTAAAAGAGTTATTTTATTGACAAAATCTTGCAGGTATGAGCCTCTATCTTATTTGCTTGGAACTGAGTACTTTCTTCATTCCTATGGACCTATATATGCACTTTCTGCTGATGTTGTTGCTAGTTTGGTTGCCCTAAAGAATGACAGGTAAGTTTAACCGTCTCCACAACTTAGTTTTTTAGCCATTTTACCTACTTGAATATTATTATAATTCATAAAATATGAGTTGTCAATTATAGTATACTTGTTTAGCTAATTTACTGTAGGAAGTGACAGTTGATGCTCTCATGATTCTTAGGCATGCGAACTTTTGTAATTTTTGTTCTGAATCACCATGTTTACAATCTCTGATTGGTATGTCCTCAATCATTTCTATATCTGCCATCAACTATTGTCAAGTTAATATCCATAACGTATTGATTGGAAGAGATGACGGTTCTTGGTCCTTAATTAATTATAGTTTGAGTTTGTGAAGAGGGTTAAGTTATACAATTGCTTCAGTATTTTTCTCCTCAGATCAATGTCGTCATTCCATAATTGGTAGAAAATTTATTGCCTTTTTTTTTTCATGATATTCAATTTAATATTCTAAAGAACAGTTTTCTGAGGTCTCTCAATCTTTTATTTTCTTCCTCTTAATACTAAGGGCTGAGGTTGTTGCAGACATTAAGCAGTACCTTCCCCCTTATTGATATTATCTTGAGGTTAATCAGTCTCCCTTTTTCTAATCTAAATCACAGTTTCCGGATGTTCAGCAATGAGGATGTTACTATTGGAGCTTGGATGCTCGCAATGAACGTGAAGCATGAAAATAATAAGGAGCTGTGTGCGTCAGACTGTACGCCCACATTCATTGCTGTGTTGGATATTCCAAAGTGTTCAGGTTGGTTTTTCGCCTCCCACAAAAATGTTATATAATCTGGTCGAAGGAGTTTGTATTGTAGAGTTTGTTTTCTTGGCTATTGTTTCTGATTTCTTTACCTTGAAAAACAAATCTTTCTTGAGAGTTTCCTGTGAGCTAGAAAGCATGGTTGGTAGGATCAGACAAAGACATGAGTCAAGAAACAGACATGGACACCGTAATATAACAAAATTTGAAGTGTTCATGCTTAAAATTTCTTGACACGTCACAAGAAACAGATACGGACACAAAAATATGACAAAATTAGGCTTGGTAAAATTTTATATTATGCCTAACACAATTCGTAGCTGCTAGGGAAAATGGGTCTGTGTATTCTTATAATGATCTGGCATGACTTCGAGACTCGAAATATGTGATTTTAAATGTAGATTAATTCTATGTTTGAGATCGTTTTATCCGCCGTATTTAGTGATTTCGTGTTGAGACCTGTAGTGAAAACCAAAGGAAAAGAAAATTCTTATTATCTAGGTATGGTTTGTCTGTTTCCCTGTAGGGCTTTGTAATCCAGAACAGAAAATGTTGGAACTCCATCAGAAGGAGAGCTGCTCAAAGAGCCCAACTTTGGTATCTGATGAGTAGTATCTGTACCATTTACTTACGAGATAGGAGCCCAGGTCTGCTACCATGATCATTATTTTCCGTCCATTGATCCTTCTCCCTCTTTTATTTCTTTTTTTTGTTTGTAAAATTCATTTTTCTTCCTGCCGTTGAAGGAAGACTGTTGATGTATTCTATTTCAATTTTTCTTGTCTCTGGCATATCCTTTTCCCCTTATTTTTGGAGGGGAAATGGTTGATACAGTAGATAGGAGTTCTAAAGGGAAGATTTTTTTTTTTTTTTTTGGCTGAGCATAGAAAACAGATAGACTGACAAATGACTTGATCGGCCATTTGAATATAATGCTTTTTTCAGACACACACGCACACACTACGGTATTTGATTTGTGACATTCTTTCAAAGAGATGAAGCATATTGGCCCTTGGTTCCAAACAAAGAGGTTGTGGACTTAGTCGATGCTTTGATTGTATTTGAGGGTTTGTTGGATGCTAAATTTCTCCACTTTCTTGAATGGCTGAGGACCCACCAATGAGTACTTTTCATTTCTTTTTCCTCTTTTTCCCGCCCTTTTTAATTGAAAATGGATGTCGTTTACGTGAAGCCTGTAATCTGCAAAGGCGGAAGGCAGACAATGATGCCTAAGAAAAACTAAATGTGGGCCCATTTTGGCCCATGTATAATGCGAAATCCAAGAAATTACATGGTACGTATTATTTTATTTTAATTTTGTTACCATGATTAATTATGTTATTAACAACTTCATAATTTATTATAAATTTATAGTTTCCTATGTTGATGATGTTAATGATTAGTGATTCCATAACGAGGAGTGTAACCTGAGAGTGGTTCCCAAGAATATTTAAAAGCCATGGGCCACTGTCAATAATGGACCCATTATTTCTGGCCCATTCTCCAATTTCTGGAAGCCTTTCCAGCAATCACGTGACAGAGGGGTCCACGACTTTCAGGTGGTTTGATTATCCAAAATACACTTTTCAACGTAAGTTGAGATAAAATTATTTTCATACTTATTTTATAAACTGTAAAATTACTTTTAAAATTATGATTTAGTTTTTACCCAAACACTCTCTTAATCAAAATTTAAATAAGATCATCATTCCAAAAAAATAGCACAAAAATAAGTGTGAGTCAATATATATATTAAGAAACTTAGTGGGCAAAAAAAAAACGGACAATTAATTATAAAAAAAATGTATGCACATCAAACTTTTTTGTGACTCTTTACTTAATCATATAAGATCTAATTTCATACACTCGCAATGATCCTTGTAGTGGCAAATCATCCAAGGTTCATTTGAAATGATCTATAAATGGCTTTTTAATTGTGATTTATAAAATAGGGGTGAGTATGTGAGAGAAGTTTTGTCTCGATTTACATAAAACATACTTATAGGCATTTAAATAAATAAATCCAAACCCTAACGAGCACCTAATCTTTAATATCATGAACTAATCCCAATTCAAACTAAATTGTGATGAGAAATTTTTATAACATGATAGTTTTCTTATACACACAGTCTCAAGCTTTAAGTTATATGCAGACAAACTCTTTAAACTTAAAGTCATTTGTACATAAATAACGAACAAAAGTTATCTGTACAAATAGAAAGTTTATAGAGTTTTAGTATAAAATTTCAAAGGCTGAGAAGGTTATTTATACATGGCATAAAGCATAGGGAAGTCTTGGTTAATTTAGCATACTATTCCTCCTATTGTGAATATAAAACCTATTTTATAATGTAAATTACACTATAAAATAAGTATTATATTTAGGACCAGAGGAATATATTCTTTTTAATCTTTGTTTTCCACATAAAAGAAAAAACTAGGGCATATTTCGAAAAAATGATATCAGTTTGGAATAATTTTAAATTGTATGAAAGAGTGTGTGTGTGTGTGTGTGTGTGAAATTGAAAGTGCTAAGAGAAAATGATAAACACTGGAAATAAGACATTTGTGAATGTTACTTGTCATCCTTTGCATCTTATTTCCTTTCATAAAAATGCTTCAAAATAAGAGACATCACCTTTGTCCTTTTTCATCCAATTCAGGCATAGTCGAAGTCTAAATAATGCTGCTTTTGAGTGATATTTTTTAAAAATAAATATATACTCAGATACAAAAAGCGGTTAATATAAAATATACATAGATTTACTCACAATTGTTTGATTGAGTAGAAAAAACTTAATTTTTTAAACAATATTAAGGATTTAGATATTGCGTATAAAAGAAGTAATATTGGGGAAAACCACTCTCAATTAAATTTGTTTATAGTTAAATGTAATTTAGTAGTACTCAATATTAAATTAAATAATCGTATAAACATATGGAAGAAGTCAAACGATGATGAGGATTTACAAGTGTAAAAAGTCAAAATTTTATTACTTCATATCACACTCCCCTCAAATGTGATATTTAGGTAATCTCTTTTTCGTTTTCACCCCATTGCATAATGCATCCCACAGAGGAATTAGATAAATGTGCATTCCAACTTATCAATGAATTTTGGTTCAAAAGCAATTAATCCCCAACTCAGCTCAATTTAACCGAGAAAATGACCTACTGCATCAATTTGAGCCGCTACAGAGCTCAACCAGTCGAACGATCCAATCTAGCTTGATGTTTAAACATTACTTTAAATTGAAAGGATTGTGAGATCAAACCCCGAATGAATATCCGATAAGTATGGGTCTTCATTTCTTATGGAAAAGAGTAAAATTTGAGGTAATTTTTTTTAAAAAAATATTAATAAATTATTTATTGAGGATAAGAAATCAGGATGGAATGGCCTGTATAATGAAATGTAAACATGGATAGGAAGTTTGGAGAGTAAATGTAGTGATGATTGAGAATTTGGTGGCTTGGTATGCAATAATATGAAGGAAGAATGAGAGGGAGTGGCAATTATAATGTTTGGCTCCATGCACAAACACAAAAAAAGCTTTGTCAAAAATCACAAAATGATATATCACAATCACTTTATTAGTTTGCTTCCAAAGTACCTTCTTCTAAGGCTTTATTCTTGTTATAGTGAATTCTGTATTTTATGGAATCTGAAAAATAAATTATAATGCATTATGAAAAAATTAAGTTTTTAAAAACACACATAGATATATTATAAATCACAAGTTATGTTTATCTAAAACACAAATCATAGATAAATAATATAACTAATTTATTTTCCATCTTATCATATGGCTATCATGTGCTCTTACAATAGTTTTCTACTTGCAGAACAAAAGCCTTTTCTTAAAAATTTTTATAAATTTCAAAAAGATGGCTAAATTAATGAGATCATGAGGGAATAATATTATGATGAGACATTTAAAAATACTTGAAAATGGGATAAATAACATGAGGTAAAATAGGCCCAAAACTTCTTTTATATATTAGTCAAAACACCTTAATTTTCTCTGTGTGTGTGTGATTATACATAAATGGAGATGATAAATATTATCTCTTGTCCTAAATATAAGAAATTAAAGATGATAAATATTATCTCTTGTTCTAAATTGATCAATTTGAAGAGATTAAAGAAATAAGTTAAGTTAGTTATTTGTAATAGATAATCATTATCTTTTTTAAAATATCCTTACTAATTAAGTGTGTTGGTTATAACCATCATTATTAGAAAGATTATCTTGAAAAAATACATAAATATGATAAACAAAATAAATTATAATTTTATATTTAAAATAAAAATAAAAATTAAATAAAATTTTATATTAAAAACAGGACCCAATAGTATTTGAGATCATGAATGAAAAACATACCAACTATTATTCAGAGACAGAATGATGATGCCCATATTCTCTCTTTCATGATAGAAAATTCTGTTACAGCAGGGAACTTATGAAATGTCAGTTATCAATTGTAGTGACTAATGTACTTCACCCACTGTATCCAATTATATTTAATTATTCATATGCTCATCTCATTCACAAACTCACAAATATTCTTTATTTTTCTTGGAGGATAATTATAAATTCTTAGCTATTAATTTAGACAGTCAATATTATATTGTACATGATTTATGTTTAATTTTTTTAAAAAAATAAGTACAACATAAAATAAAAACAAATTTTTAATTATAATTTTAAAAAATATTTTTTAAAAATAAAGATAATGCAATATAAACTATTTAAATCAAATTCATATTGAATTATGGCAACAACACAGTGGTGTTCTTGGAGGCTGCTTGCTTCCACTACTTCATTATTCTACCACGAAATGAAAGCATACAACATATACCACTTAATAAGATCAATGTTCTTACTTTTAATTTTCAACTTTAAAATAAAATAAAAATCGACAACTGATATTGAAAATCAAAAGATAAAAGTTAAAACTATGTTTTTTTTTTTTTTAATTTGATGAACTTTCAATTCATCCGCTAAAGATTCGGTTCATTGAACTGAATAACAAAATACGAAGAAGTGTGTGTGTGTGTGTGTGAAACATCATGTTTTTGAAAAATAAAGAAGGGAGACTAACTTTTACTAATTGGCATGGATTGTAATTAAGCAAGACAGATTACCCAATAATATAGCGTATTAGTGAATTAACTAACAAAAAAAAGGAAAACAAGTTTGAGAATAAAAATTTCATAAATGAAAAAATAATTAGGAGAGTTAATAATGCTCGAATAAATATTAGTTCATGAACCATGATGCTAAATACTTAATATTTGTTAAAGAAATAAAAAGAAAACAAAGGTGAGTGTGGTGAGGTTCATAAAGGAACAAATTAAGAATTAAGAAGTCGACATAAATAGTCATAAACATTTGATTTAATGTAATACCAAATTTTGCGGCGGTTTAATTCAAAGCCATATTTTCTTAGTATATAAAGATATTATGAATGGTTAAGTAACATGAAATTGAACCTTAAAAATAAACATTTTGATAATAAAAATTCTAATTTTTTCTGTCCAAGTAACCAAAAAAATAAATATTATTAAATAATAATCAAATTAAAACGCATAATAGAAATAGAGATCATAGAAAATACAATGACAAATACTTTTTATATAGGAAAATTTGGTAAAAAAAAATCCCTATTTGAAAACTTAATTGATTAAAAAGACTTAAATTTAAGTGTGTACAACTATAGCTGCAACTTTTTTTTCATTGTATGTAACATATATTCTGCTGTGTGTAAATGACTTCTGTACTAATAATTGTTACACATCATTGATAAAATACTACCTCCGGTTCTTATTATAAGACCCCGTTTGACTTTTTGTTTGGTC